AAATATTTACAAGTAGCCATTACGGCAGTCTCGTTCGTAAATATTTCCTAGGGGTTTGCGGGTTGCCTTAGACCGGCGAATACACTCGTTGGCCCGGGAATCGGTAAAAAGAGCAAATGGAAGTTTGCGGAAACAGTTTACGATGATATTCATTTGGCGCATAGTTACCGGCAACTTCCTGCGGCCAGAATCTTCCCCGTTTGCGAACAATTTGTGTTCGACTGGCAAAACTTGGCAAGATTCTTCTACCTTCTCCCTGGGGAATGCTCGATATTTAAATCTGATAAGGGTAAATAATAACTTCTTCCAGTGTCTAAACGATAAACCAACGTTATTGACTTTTCCCGTTTCTCAAAATTATTCTTCGAAGCTATCTTTACAAAATGGAACGATTCGATTTGCCAGTGAAATTTATAGGTTGACTCGTTAAGCAACTTCGAAGTATTAAAACAACCGATACGATTTCATTGAATAATCATCGTCGACGAAGATTCAATGTCTCGTCCAAAGGGTGTACAAATTATCAATCCAGTTTTTATTTACCAACCAATGTATTTCAATATGTCCCGGGAAATACGTTTCCATGAATGAATAAATTTTATGGAAATCCTCGGACCAGGAAACGCATAAATATGCAAATAACACGTTCATCATTGACTTGCTTTCATCGAGTGAAATCGCTATTCAACGAGCGGGGGCGGATCGATTGATCAAACAACGTTTCATTCATCGGTCAATTTCTATCCAATCTTTCCTCTTTACCGCCTATCAACGAGTTCTTCATCGAAATAGAAATCTGAGGAAAATTGAAACTTCCGCAAACAATTATCGTAACGAGGTTAAGTACGAGGAACAGAGGGGAGTGGAGGAGAGCGGAGTCTCAGTTTGCTAAAATAACTCGATTCCGTTTCCGCAAGCAACGACAAAAGGACAAAAGTTGACTTCTCCTCTTGAAGAGGAGAAGATGGCCTCTCTTGGACGTCGGAGAGAACTTCAACAACGTTATCTCCGCTGCTTAGCGTGTTTCACCGGGTTTTTATCGTCGCGAAGTCGTCTAAGCAGTTTATCCCTCGCTTTCGGCCTGGCTGGATAGTTCGTGAAGTTTCATCGAAAATCAGTGGACGGCAGGCCACCGAAAACGAGCAAACGTAATTAAAAGTTTCGCGATAAACCAGTTACCCGCGACGACTGTTTGTTAACGCTTCGCGAATCATCGCGTTTTTATCGTTCGCCAAGAGTGTTCAAACGTCAGACTTTAGATTGCGAGCGATCTTGATGACACTGTCTTTTTTTAGATCGTTTTGAAAATTTATTATTTATGTCGAAGAATTTGAAACAGGTCAAAATTGTAATTAGATAAAAAGCCTGTTTAATGGATTATGAATCAGCTTTAATTATTTGGAATAATTAGAGGATCTAATTATGAAACGATGGACGTCAATTTGGAATCGTTTGTAAATGATAGAGGGGAAGAATATTACGGGAGACCACTAGAAACGGTAGCCAGGGTGAAACTGTTTTGACGGACGTTTTCCCCCTTTTCTGCTCGTTCTCAAGTGCTTTCCCAACATACTTGTGTTGAAGATCCTTTGTCGTTCGCTTAAAGGACCCTGGCTAGCTGGATTTCCAGACTTCTTCCCCTACTTTCAACCCCGAACCGCACGTTTCCCAAAGCCCCGAAGCCAGCAGCAATGCTTAATATCGTTCCACGTGGCATTCCTCGGGACTATCTTGCAAACCCCAGAAATATTGGATTCCACGACCAATTTGAATTTCCCCTGCCGAATCGTTGGATATCGTTCCGCGAACCCCTCTGTTTTTTTCCCTTTCATCCCTTATATTCCGAGTATGATGCTCGCGGTTGGTCTCCGACTTTCTCCATTTTCGAAGAAATTATTACTTCAAATCTCCCATTTCTCGCGATATTATAGTTTTAATCATGGAAAAGTCTTACAAAGCCGGATGGGGTTCCTGACGTTCGTAACGAGTCGATAAAAAAAGTAACAAGTTATACTTTCGGAAGTTTGTTAAATGTCCCGGTGAGAAGTCGAGAAATAAAGCGATCGCAGGGGGAATCGAGACACTTGGTTAACAATGAAAGTTCCTCGAATTGATCGATACACTTTTCTGTGTGGTTTAAGTATCACTAGTTCTTGTCCCCAGGGAGTTCTTTATTGTTCTTCGAACGTGGAGAGTAAATTGGGAAGAATCTTATCCTGGGATTGCAATCTTCCAATTAGGAGAAAGTCAAATATAGACATTTCATTTCTACTTTACAAACTCTCGAACAAATTTTTCAATCTTGAAGTTAGTGAGAATCCCTCGTTCAGTGGGAAAGGGATAGGAATCCTGAAAACCCGGGAACCCGGGAACCCGAAGAATCCTATGAAGAGGGAGACATTGCAATTTTCACTGGAGAAGCCTAAAACAAGGGCCAGGAACCCTGGAACCCTAGGAAGCCTATTGGGAAGGGAGACATTGCAATTTTCCCTGGGGAACCCTACAACAATTTTCCCACTATTTTCTCTGGGAAAGCGCAGAGTCGAAACGTTTGGCAAACAACAACGTTCGAAGACAATTCGGAACTTCTTACGAACGTGATACGCGTCCGCACGAAATTAAGTTAATCGAGAGAAGAAGCAATTTGTCGGGCAAGTACTGCGGCAACGGTGCCGGCCGAATCAATAGCCACGGCTCGTCGCAACGAGCGTTTCGCAGGCCGGTCCAAGGCGAGTTAAAAGCGGATTCGAGCTTTGCCGTGGCTCGAAGCGTGAATGAATAATCAAACGGGGCCGGATGATAACGCGGCCAACCCTTTTGTCCTCGTCGAGACGGATTATTAAACCCTTAAGCGGCTACAACGGATACAGGCCGTGTGTTTGGGGACCGCTGTTTTCTATGGTGTGCTGCTTTTGTTTGCGGAAAAACAATGAGAAAAACCGACGCGGATAGGGTAAATTGTTTGATTAGACGTCCTTTTCCCGTGTTCGTTCGTTGGAGAATTTATTGTCTCACGTTAAATCGTTGCTATGATACTTTTGGGAATTTTAAATAATTCTCATGTCAAAAATTAAAATTTTAAACAATTAAATGAATTTACCAATTTAAATTTACCTCTGATTATAATTGTAATTTTTAATTTTGTAATTAACATAATTTCTGCGTTTAAAAAATAAACTGCAATTGCAGTTGCATAGATGCACAAAAGTTGCACCAAAGTTTCCTCCTTCTCAAGTGTGTTCAACTCTAAATAGAAATTGGGAGAAAATCCTGGTGTAACCGACTTAAGAAATAGTTTTAAACCGGAAGCAAGTCGATTATCATTTTAATCGTACTGCAACATTAACGCTTTGCAAGATAGAAATGAAATTCCTGTGGATGCCGTCATTGTCTCAGTCCTTCTTTTTCTGCTGACCGCTCCTTAATTATCACTTTTAATACGTGTAACGCTCTTTACCACGCTTTTAATTCCTGGCACGTTAGCAACCCCCACCCCCCGGGGCAATTCCTTTCCTTTTAATTTGGACCTTAAGCGGCAGAAAATAGTCAAGTATGGGCATAGCAGTTTAATCCTTTATGAAGCAGAAAGTGGCAAGAAATGTAGATACGTGTTTCGTGTTTTAATCGTGACATTTTATCCTCGAAAAATTCGTGTAATTTTCGGCAAATGCAACATTTTTCACCCTTTATGACATTTGTGGAAATTTAATTTATCTCGGAATTTATTAATATTTTAAAATACTTTTCTATGAACAGAATATAAAAATGTCGACTGTACAAGCTTGCTTAAAAATTAAATTTCGTCCGCGATTCAACTTAATCCCGGACGAATATGCTTGTATTATATCAAATATTTGAATATCAAGTTCACCACGGTAGGATGTCTGATTGAAAGAAAATTCAATTCTCTCGGTTTTCACCAGGCAAACACGCTGGAACTGCAAAGATTCCTATCGAAAATTTAATATTTCATTCTTGACCAATTATACAAGCGGTCTCTTTTAAAGCGCACCGTTTCGATAGTAAATATTGTTGAAACGTAACCGGCCTGTTTGCGTTCAGCCGCTTAACACAGCTCGTACGGTTTAAACGTTCAAACGATCGCATCCGCTCTGAGTATGATAGTCACGTTGTCCATTGTTCGTAATGCGGATAATCGAATATTAGCGAACGAGATCCGCGCCGTATGCACCCGGTGCATCGCGTTCTTGCTGCAGATGCACCCAATGTGAGATACTAGATTAAATTGGAATCTCTCCATGGTCCGTCGTCCTAAAGTTAAGATTTCATATTTTTCATATTTTAATATACTATTCGTGAAAAAATTTATGGTGAAATTCTAAAATTTCTTATCTAATTTCGATAACATTAACCACTGGTTTAGAGTATAAAACCTTGATTGAATAATTACAATTTTTAACACCCTTTGACCACGAACAGTGCAAACGAAGCTGAGTTACAAATGAGCTGCGTAAATTGAATTTTCGCCAAAAGAAAAATATAAATATAAAACATGAGTAGAGAGTGTACTCGAGAGATGAGGGATTCGATTGGTGTGTGTAAAGACAGTAAGGGTCATCCGTGACGAGAAGTCTTGATGTCGATTCGACCACAATGTGATTCAACCTCGATACTGTAGCCACTTTTATGTGGCTGAACTTTTCATCTGGAAGTTTCATCGACGAAGCCAGTTATGTCCGTAACTTTTTTTAACGGTGCTGGTTTGAACCAGGCATTCGATGAAAATCCGTCGGAAAGTTTCACCATCAGTGGTCAGGAAATGCGAACGGAAATATTCTTTATATTAAAACAGCCAGTCGAGCGATCTTTCTAATTTCAACCGTAGATAATGCGTTTCCTTATCGCAATCTTCTTTTATTAATAAAACGAAAAGATTGCCCTGAATTGAGATTGTTAAGTTACAAATTGCAACTGGTAGCCATTGCAGTATATAAAAATAAAATAAACTAAGAACTGTTTAAAATTCTGATGAACCACTAATAACTTCCTTCAAAAGAAAACACATAAAGAAGCTTGTTCGACGAAGGGAAAGGAGCTTAAAAGGGGAACGTATCAACAAGCGAATTAAATGTACCGAAGCTAGGCAGCTGATACGTTTCAATTATAGAAGCATTGTGTCTGAATGCTTTTCAGCTAGCTGTGAGTAATCTGGTAATTTGGAAAATACGCTTTTCAAAGGAGCGTCTTATGCATTAAAACCGACGTCTCGGGATACAACGGGACCCGTCGTTGAAAACCGTGACGAGAGGGAGGAGAGAGAAAAGAAAAAAATGAGCGACGAGTAGCTCTTGCTTTTTTCTTTTTCACCGAAGGGAATTGTGGTTAACCGTACGGAATCGGTAGTGTCGTGGAAAAAGAGGGTTGTTATAAGCGGTCTACACCACGCCCTGCTTGGCCCGCGAACTGGGGCGGTGTCACTGTCATCGAATCGATATCTCCTCACTCTTACTGAATTTTATTCGTCCAATTGATGATAACCGGCTAACGAGATTATTTTATCGATATTCCACCTGATATTTATTTTAATCCTCCTAGTTCCATGATTAAGAGTCGATTTGCAAAGATTTACCGAATTTCGGTCTCTCTCCATGGTCCGCCGTTCGATAGCGAACATTAACAACGACAGTTATCATATTTTTCTTATATTAACATCTTCAAAACTCTATCATATGATCTTGAGGACTCGAAATATTATTTACAAATGGTATTCATGGACAGAAAACTGCTCTAACAATAAATATATCTGATTCTACTTACGCGTAGATTCACCAACGTCGACCGTGTCCTACTCGCGCGGCTATTTACAAGCGCGCTATTACGTAAAGTACACACAACTCGGAGTGTATACAGAGTCATTCTATTTCGCTTATTACATATGGACTCTGGTGTAACTTGTCAGACTGCGGAGGAGTCTCGTTCCGCCTCGTTTCCCGTCTATAGACATCGGATGCTTACTTTGCGAACTTCGAACGCAATATGTCTGACCAAATTCAAGGCTATTCTACTGACTTTAGATACTCGCGAGTTCTATTCTAATATCGCAAATTTTCTTTACCTTATTTTATAACTAATTTCACTAAATGGTACGTAGGATTTTTGCACACCAACACCGGGTCGAATGGTGATGCATAATACAGCAGAAGGTCGGCGATCATGCAAATGGAGAAACCACGCGACGCGAGTAAAGCCGACTTATTCACACGAACGTCTGCAGCCGAGTGTTCGAAACAGTTTTCCCGATTTCGGATAATGTTCGCTCCGACGCGCGACCTAATCCTATTACGTCGAATATACTGGCGTCTGGTGCAACAATATTACAAAGAATCGTTATTATCGCCGAGCCGGTGAACTGGCGGATGCCACGGCGGATCCCCTTATCCGCCCTTCACCTCCCGACACACGCTTATTTCATGTTCAACCCCTCCCATCCGCTTCGATGGGTAAGCACATCCAATTACCGAAAATGTAGCACTGCACGCTGCTATCTTATGGATTATCGTCGTTTTTATGAGTGCCTCGAGTAACTCGCATCAGCTCCCCACGTTTTTTAAAGCGTACCACCTTTCTTCTACCCCTTTTCACTTCTTCTCTTTTCCCCTGAATTGAATGTCACTTGAAAATGATCATTATTAAAACGTAACTGATATTAGCATAATTAGATATTATGATGCTATGACCCAGTTCTTCAGTGTTTCTCTTCATCTTTGTTTTTGATGCCTTGAGGGATGACTCCCCATTCACTCCACCTTTCTCCTCTCTATTATAGTCTTTGGATGTCCTGTTCAGAATGACTTCTCAAATTGATAGACCTAGAGGTGAAACACTCCAGTCCCCCCATTGTACTGTATTACCTTTCTCCTCTCATACCTCTTTCTTCCTTCATTTTTATTGCAATTATAGTCTCTGTCCTACTCGATGCATCATCCTGAATGATCCTCCAACTATCCCAGCTTTAATTATTCATCATCATTGTCATCATAGTCTTTGGATGTCCATTGGTTCTCTTCATCAGACTCCTCCTAAATCTTGCTGCTCTTCAAGAAACTGTGCTTTCTGTAATTTCTGTGACTAAAACTACCGATAGCAGGAAGTCTTTCATCGATAAATCGAACCGACTGTCGGACAGGATTCCTCCGAAATACGTGTCCCTAGTTCTTCCATCCGGATGTCGACGTCTTATTTCATGTTGTACCTGATCCTTTCGTTGGAAAACCGAGTTGCATCTGCGTAGTCGGCCGGAAGCGAAGGTGGTGGTGACCTAGACGCGTCGTATTTCCCGAGTGCCATGTCTATCAGGGAGAAACTGCAGCTGGAGAAGGTGCTGGCGCAGTCGTGACCTTCGTGGCCCGCCTTGTGCGCCCTGCTGTACGCGTGATGCTCCTCGGGCTCGCCGGAGAACAGCTTCTTCAGAGGAAACCTGAAACAATCGAGGAATCAGAAACTTTTGGTTCCATTTAGACGTCGGGGAAGAGGAGCAGTTGGTCGCGTCGAAGGGGTTGAAAAAAGGAATTGATCGATTCTTGCCAATTACAGCCGCACCTGGGACACGGAAGATTCTATCGGCAAAGGACGATAGAGAATGCATTCGGCAATTTTATTTTTGAAAAAATCATTGGAGACAGTAGTGTACCTAGAGGTATCAGAAGAACCGCTGCACCCCTTATTAACACTAGAACTACCGACGTGAAAATAATGTAGAAAATTAAATGAATAAAGATCTCTCAATAAAATTTATAATTTGAAATAAGTCATTTTCACTGGTTTGGTAATTCCAGTGTTAAGAAATTAAAGTTTGTTTTTAAAAATGAAGAAAATTAGGCTCGATATAAAATATGAAAGACAATTTTTATGTCACCGAAGAAAAGAAGGCATATTGTCTCTCGAAAGAAGTTGATTGAAAACTGAAATACGTGTGAAATATTGCTGCACACCGTAGGCAACTTCATCATCACGAAAACCCATAAAGTTTACGATGTAACGAGAGTTAAAAAGCTCTTAGAATCCATCAAACTCGATAGAATTTCGCGGAGGAACAGCGAGGAGACGAAGTAATGGCGTAGCTTACGCGGTGTACGCGAAGGTCGTCCTCTTAACTTTATTTGCTTAATAAAATTCTCTTTCGCGATCGGGCCTATCCCCTTCGACGAAATAAGATTATTCCGAAATCCCATCGATTCCCGGGGCAAAGCTTGTCCTCGAAAGGAACCCCTTCGTCGCGGTTCCAACTTTTATCCACTCCTAGTGTGAATCTTACAAAAACGATATCCTCATCATCTCCTCGATGAGAGTGTTCCCCTTCGGCATCAGCCGCTGGGAGGCCTCGCAGAGTGCTCGAAGTATGCAAGTTCTGCCGTCGAAATTCATCCTGAAATAAAATACATATCAGTGGGATACAATAAATTCGAATCAAGAGTGAAATTATTGCTGCTCGATCCCATGGAAAAGATACTGAAACGTATACGGGGTTGGAATAGAATTTAATCACGTGCCTAGAGATCGTTTCATGTAATATGAAAGGAGAGAAAGAAAGAAAAAATATTTAGTATCGTGTATTAATGTATCCTTTCGACGCTGAACAAGCATCTCGTTGCACGTAAAGAACGATGAAAGAGGGTGGTAGTAATGTTTTCTCATCTGACCGACCCTCTTTCGTGGAAGATTAAAGTCTCCTTTGAAGCAGCGTTTGAAAAATTCGTTTCCCACCCCAATAATTTCACCCTTGATTTGAGTGGCTCTGGACAAGCCTCGAGATCGATCTCGAAAATTGTTATCGTTTAGCAAAAATAATTGACGTGAAAAATAAAATATAAAAACAATTTTTTTTACTCAGATAAAATTCTGAAGTAGATACTATAGGCATTGGAAAAAAGTATTTGACATATATTTTCCTTTTATCAGACATCATCCACTCTGACGGGGTGTAAATGGCCTTTGGAGTTGGGGTTGGATGCCATATTTCATCGAATATCTTTCTAACTTAAAAAAGTTAAGACTCGGAAAGTTTTCGATTGCCAAATTCACTGTGATATTTATTTGTTTAAAAAGTTAAGCACGTCGACCCTTGTTAGTCTTCTAAATATTAATTCTATCCCTGAAATATCATTCCACGGTAGCTTAGAGCTTTATTGAAAAACATAATATTTACTTGGAGAGAGAATAACAGGGAGGGGAACGCACGAGGCCATGAAATAAGGACGCATCTTATGATCACCAATCGGGGTAAATGCCGGCCATTAATTCAGAGAAATAACTGAGGAAAGGGGAGGAAATAGATTGGATCCAAAGAAGCTGGATAATATTAATGCTACAATCGCAAATTCGCGTAAACAATCTTCTTACTACTATTTGATTCTTCGACTTCTTCTATCTCGAGTATTATCATATAATTAATTTACTAATTCCAATTTAAAATTATAACGTTAAACCCACTTTCCTACCCTTATAGAAGGTTAATTTTTTTTTAAATTATCAACCTGTCATTATTCTTCTCTAAGTAATCACTAAGGGTTAACTTGGCCCAGCAAAATATTTTCAGTTATTACAATTTCAACCCATAAATAAACGCACGACAGGGAGAATCATGCAGCCACAAATAATAACAGGATTTTCCAACAGGCAAAAATTGATTCCAGAATGGTAGGATGAGAATCGTGTAGAGGAGGCTTGCAAGGAAACAGTTGGTGGTGTTGGAGCTGCTTAAGGGTGGCATGAATCAGAGGGTGGCGCCTGAACCAGCATGGAACGTTGGCTGAATGGTGGGGTAGTAGTCGGTAGCTGGGTTGGGGTTGTTTCTGAACGAGCCCGGCAGACCATTTATCTGTTTCTGGGGCCAACAGCCATGAGGGAAATAGTTTACCCTCTCTCTCTCTTTTGTGTGCTTTGTCCATAACCAGATTTATATCCCACCGCCGAAGGGCTTGATTATTTTCCCCGGTTGCTCGCCGATCATCAGAAATAATATCGTACGCATGCAAATAGGGAAACATTAGTTCTACTGCATTAGTTTCTCACGTTGAATGTCCACCGTTATTGTCTCTAATGTTTTCTTATCTTTCTGTAATGCAAATTTACCTCTGAAAAGCTATCGAAAACAGATCCAGTCGCTGTATATTTTCATTCTTCTTTTATACAGCAATTTAGATAAAGGTAAGATTGTCTTGGAAATAAAGAAAATCACGAAGAAATTCTCAGTGTTATCTATCCTTTCCCTTTCTAATACAGCGGGAACAAGATGGTCGTAATTGGTATTCTACATCGTCTATTCTTGATCTTGACGCGCTCAGGCGGTCCATCGGGTTTCTATGAAACGCGACCGAAATACATCAGCGTAGATGACATGGAAAAAACTGAGACGGTTCGACGGGTCTCCATAAACGCGAACGACGATCGTTCGATCACGTCCAGACTACTAAAGCTCCCGTTACATTTTATTATCCGGCGTGCCACTCGGCCTGACGCGCTTCGCGAAAATTTATTCGCCCGTACGATTTTCAGACGGCGAAGAATCGACGCTTTCTTCCCAGGTAACGTGACATTCTCCTTACGTCAAAATCAATGTCTCGTGATCTTCTTACAAACAGCGTTCTTTAAAAGTTTATTCAAATTTAATCTGACCCAATTCTTTAGATTCTTATATTTTTAATTACGGTAATTATGTGGTAATTAGAAATGCAGGCAGAGATTCTGCAAATAGAAAGAACACGAATTGTATGATTATATTGAAGATCGTTTTACTTGTTGTCGACAGATAGTTTTACTTTGCTCAGTCAGATGTTCAATCGTTTACTCGACTAAAAATCGATGTCGGACTAGTTCTGTTCTACTTGTCTGACCAGCGTCGAATCTATTCTACTGCACTGTCAACAGGCAACCTTTGTCTGTTTTTTCCATTTCAATTCTACATGGTTCTGGGTCGTGTTCTTCCTTCTTTTTTTAGAGAAAAATTACAAACTCACTTCTAATGTTAAATTGATATTTAATAACAACCCTTAATCCTGCTACTTTTTGAAAATTTATAATTACAAATTTTTCTTTGAATAAATAGCTATTAAATGACGCAATGAAGGATTAATAAAATCGTTTCGGATTAATCATTGAATATGAAATAAGAAATTACAGTAAAATTGGGACTTTCTCCATGGTCCGCCATTTAAGAGTTGAAAGAACGACTAACACTACAAACTATTATTAACAATTAATAACTTACGCGTTCATGATGACTTCTAGCTTGCTATACAGATCCCTCCGGTGTCTTCTCTGCAGATAATAGTAATCCTGCTTGTAGTACTTCCTTTTCCCGGGTTTCACGTAATATTTCTCGTTGCTGTTCCATTGCGGATACTTTACGACGTTTTTGTTTAGCGGACCGTTCGCGTAGCCGTATTTGTTGGCCGGTTTAATTTTGTCTTGTCTGAGCTGTAAAAACGGCTCGAGGGCTGGCTTACTTTCGTTCGGTAAATCGTACGCGATACCCCAGTTAACACCCTCGGAGAAGATGTCATCGGACGATAGGGTGTTAAACGTCACGCAAAGGGCGATCTAAAAATTACAACAAACTATGCCAGTAGATATACTCCATCCAACGAGAGGAGACAATAAACGCGTATAAATTCACGTGCTCGAAGCAGGCTCGGCTCACAGAATACAAACCTCGACCGAAACGTTCGAATAACTAGAGTATAATGACTCGTCTCGTTTGACAGATTATAGTTGAATAAAAATAAAAGAAGCTTCGCTTACCGAGAAGGTGGAACCTTCGGGAAAAACCACGTATCGTTTCCTTCTTGATAAACGAGTGTTTTGGTCAGAACTGACCCCATAATCGCTCGCCAAAATACACAGTATTAAAAGGAGAATGTAACCTCCGGTTAGATTCATATCGGTACTCTAAAGGGAAGAAAAAAATTCATTATCAAAAAATAGTCTATCAAAGAAAGGTCTCTGATTACTGAAACTCTGACATTTTATAATGCTATCCCTTCACATTCGACTCGTTTACTCGCGGAGGCACGGAGAACAAAGGGATAATTTTCACAGGGTGTATCCTCGTTCTCTATCCTCATCTTCCATTCCAATTACGAGGAAGCGAACCACGAGATCGTAATAAAGCAATCTCTTTTTTTCCGCGCATCAGTCGTTGAACGAAAATTAAATAACTCGCTCCGTTTTCAAGAGAAGTGCATTTCATTCTTCGTAGAATCCGAGACAACCGGCGTGCACAAAGACGGAGGGAGATAGAGGGTGGTAACCCGGCTTTTCTTCGAAGGACATCTCATTAATCCGAGCTTGAAACGACGAACGAGCAATTTTCCCCGGTAGCGAACAGGACACGACGTTTCTTTATTTTTCGAAAACGAACAGGAAGAATTATTTTATTTGTACGGGGTGTACGGGGCGGTCGGTCAACGGAGAAGTTCCCGTCGCGGCGAGTTGTAAAGGAATTACCTAACTTTCTGCCGCGCGAGAATCTCGGTATAATCCGTTGAGAAATTGTTCGACGACTCGGTCGAAATAAAAGAGGCGTCGAGTAGGTTGATAATGCCGGCTGCGAGCGAGCGCGACCACCGAGAACGTGGTAAGCTCTGACACGCGGTCGCTGAATTCCCGACGAGTGGAGGAGTTAAATCGAGATTGGTGAGACAGGATCTCGAAATAATCTTGAACGATGAGGGAAGATTAACTCGTTCGGATCGAATCGGCGAACCGATGCCCGCCACTCGATTACCTAGCCATAGCTGCAACCAGCTTCCTGTTTAATTCCAATGGCGGACCATGGAGAGAGGCCTAATTTCAATTTAACGTATGAAACTTTTTCATTGAAAAATTGTATATCGTAATAAAAATAATTTATGATAATTTCTACTATCTTTTGCATAGTTTTTCTTTGCACTTTTTCCCGCTTTCCTTTCCGATTATCCAGCGTCCTTACCCCGGCTCCTCTCGAAGGAATTTCTCCTTTGTCGCCGAGGAAAAGGATATTGTCGAATACCTTGAGGGTGTTCGTGCCACCGATTTTCGTACCGTCAGACGAACGTCAATTTTCCGGCGTCACTTGCCGCGATTATTTCACGTGGAAAAATTGTTTGCCATGCGTGGAAGCTCGTGCGCAAAGTGTCGAGACGAGTGCATGAGAGGACGCCTTGAGAAAATCGTTCGCTTTCTATGATTTTCACCCCCCTTTACCTATCTACCTTTCAGCGATACCTAACAACTTCGTTGAAACGGGAAAAATGATTTATTTTTGTTCAAAATTTATTTAATTCAAAATTGAAATGAAATCGAGTCAACTTTAACTCTAAATGGATTTATATCACGAATTATTGAAAAAATGATAGACGGTTAACGGGTTAAACAAGGGAATCCAATCAGCCGTTTGCCACAATTTAAATTCGGACGAGGCTGATGAACGTGTCGCAATCGAAATGAAATTCCCGAGTCCTGTGATCGAATCAGAACAGTGCTCCCGTTTGCCAGCCACCTCGGGAATCTATTAGACGAGTCAACAGAAACGATTGAAATTTCTCAACTACTTTTCACCCTCGTTCGTTTCTGTCTGATGTAGCCTCGCGTATCCGGAACACGGCAGACGTGATTCCACGCTCTGGAAAAATGTTTCTCGACTCGAGGCAAGTAAGGGTTGGCAAATATTGACGATTTCGAATGGGCTGTAAATCCTGCACAGCTTGTTCCTCCGACTACCGCCAGATAATATTCCGATCTTCTAACGACGCTACAGAGCATAACCGTCTCTTAGATTTCTATAGGAAAACTTCAGGGTGCGATATTGATTTTAACGAAAGATAATTTATATTCAATTCGTACTGAAAAATTTGTCGACAGTACTCAGGATATAACACAATATAAATCTGCGTATATATACGTTATGTTATGTCTAGGAAAAATGGGCGTATATATACGCTCTATCGATTCTAAAGAAATTGCACGTATAAATACGCCTTATCGCTTTTAAAAAAGCTGCACGTGTATATACGCTCTGTGCCCTCCAGGAAAATTGGACGTATATATACGTCAATGATGCAAATAGATTATGTCAGAATCTCTGAAAAGAAGTTCACATACGAAGAATAAAGGGAACAAAGATAGAGTACCAGATTTTTATAAAGAAAATTCGTAACCAGGTGACTAGAGACATGTGAAAATCTGGTCGAAAGGTGACAGGATGTTGTATCGATCGTACGGAACAGCCGTCAGGTTGAATAAAGCTGGTTCACGATCGGATAAGATTTATCATAATCAACGACGAGCTCGTCCCGATACGGTTGGATGGCGTGTACGCTTAGGAAAGCCTGGACGACAGAAACGTCTCGGCTGTTCACCGTCTTGCGGAGTGAACGTCAACTTCCTGCTTTGATGCCAGCTTATTGGAGACGTGGCTCCTGCTGGTTGTACACAGACGGGCACCCTCTCTATATATCGATCCGGCGATCCGTTTCAACGGGAAACCGAAACGATATTTCAAAGGCCGAAACAATTTCGGAAATCGTCCCGGCGATCTGTCAAAAATTGCGGGGAAGAAAAACGGGCCGGTCGAAATGCGGCTGAACGAAGCAATAAACGCGTCACTATGGACGTCGGCGTGAATTTGAAAGAGAAATAATTTTTCGGATCAATCTCTGAAATTAATCTTCGTGTTCTCGAAATTTCTGAAGATTCAGAAATCAATCATGGAAAGGATAACGGAAGCTTTCCCGCCGTCAGGAAGTATAAAGAAAGAGAAAAGGCAAAAGTCGAAAAGCATCGTACTCGATGGATGAAAAAAGAGGAAAGATCGATCCTTCCCCAGTGGAAGTATCTTGTAACTCAGTTCGGTAAACTCTTTAGGAAACAGGAAGTTGTTAGTCGGCCGTGGGGGCAACGAGCGGAGGAAATGATCGATAGGTGACGGCGATACTGAAGAAAACACGGGATCCATGCTTCGAACGGGGCTTTCGCCGATGAACGATGGCAACGACGTGATCTCACTTATCGGGAAAGCATATTACCCGGTGCCGACCAGGACTACTCGGCCTTCTTTCATTCCTCCTTGCTCGTCCTCGATCGTTAAGCCTCGAAGAAATATGATATTGCGACAATTCCGTGGCTCATTCGTCGAATTCAATTTACGAGGCCTACTTGGGAAACGAGTAGATCGATAACGATACCCCTATCGTTGATTACACCGCCTGATTTTATTTATTTTTCCTTTTCTTCTTTGAAATTTTATCTCGAACGCTTAAGAATACCCAAAAATAAGATTAAATTAATTTTAGAGAGCTTAAGATTTTTTATAATTAAAAATTTTTAATTACATATTGGATTAGTAAAAACTGGACTCCTCCACTGGGGAATTAAAATGAAGAGTGTAATTGGCAAAGTGAAATTTTGTAACCTGGTTCGAATCAATTATCTCTAGGCATATTTCTGGTAATTTTACTTTCTCACAAGTTTAGTTACCAACCTAACACCTCCGTTCATTAATTAAAAATTCAAGTGTTAATAAGCCACGGTTGTACGATTCTGTTTTATTAATGAATGCAATAAAATTTCTTGGTGAAATTCCATTACAAATGACGAAGAGAAACCTGATTTTTAATATCACGTACAAACTTAGTGTTCGAAGATTCACCGTTTACGACTGGCCGAGGCGGCCAGTTAATGAAGCCTCGAAGCCGAACACACATCGTAAAATTCCCATTTCTTGTCTGTTTCACGAGGCAACGTGTGCGGTGCGAGGAGTCGAAATAAGAAATGCAAAAATCGGCATAGTTTTCGGCGGATTTTATGGAAATTAGTTTACTCACCGGTACCCACTTGCTTCTCGGTGATGTCTTCGCGACGAATGACACCCGGACCAGTGTCAAACGACCGTTATTATTGCATTTCGAGAGCAGACCGGCCATTGTCAAGTTCATTAACGCTCCCCGTGTTCCTTCGCGCCTTGTTTGACAAACAATTAACAGGCTGACGGTCGAACGACCGTAAGGAGCCACCGTGCTAATTACTGCCACCGCTAGCGCTCGCGTTGACATCTCAGAAACGTGTTACGACTCTTCAGTTTTTGCTTTTAGACAACTCCAAGGACAGCTCCCTCTTTCCTCTATACCGCCATAATGATCGTTTCTAAATTTCCGTGGCACAATTTTTAACACCTGGTGACATTGTTGACTAATTCTGCAAAATTAATAAAATTATATAATTTTCTTAAGACTGCAAGTGGAAAATGTTGAATAAATATAATTATAACAAATTAAGCCTTGGATAATGGAGCCTAGGTCAATCATGACCCAAATTCACAAATGAAATAGAAAATTAAATTAAAATTGTGCCTCTCTCCATGGTCCGCCATCCGAGGTTTAAAGTACAGAGAAATGTGTCACAAGACAAAATTTCATTTCTGAATTTCTAGAGCACCTGAAACCTATTTATCTATATTAGAACGTTTAATTTTCAGTTCAGAAGCCCTAGGGTCCTCGTCCAATGTTTATTAAACTTCTTGTTCAATTTAATGAGCATATAACAACTAAGTTACGAGCGCCCTGTATAAGTACCAGTTAACACTTTATGAGCATCAGTTTGCACATCTGACTAATTTATGTCGCATTCACTTTGTGTGTGTGTTACATATTACAAGTAAGCCTGCTGTCTCGTCGTCTATTATCATAAAGAAAGAAAGAAAAAAATACAGTTACCGTACGAATAGGTGTGAAAATTAGATCAGCTCGTTTTGCTCGACTTTACACGAGCCTCCGAACGACGACGTCAAACACAACGGTGTATGTCGTTAAATTTTGATTAGGTATTCAGCTTTCGAGATCGTCGATCTGTCGGGGAGAGGCGAGAAAAGGTAAACGTAGCAGATGGCTTGATTCTTCGAACTGTCGATACCGAAGAGTCTGGAAGTCGCAAGGCACGGAAAATTGGGTCGTGTCCCCGGGAAAAAGGCCGTCGGGACTCGTTACGAAGTTTCCCTGAAAGACAATGGAAGGACTTTAAGGAGGAGCTTGAGAAAAATTAGAAAGATACGTTGGGAGAAATTAGCTGCTTCGTGTTGGACAAATTTCTCGTGAGATCGATAAACTGTTAAGGGATAAACTTCCTGATATTGCTTGTTCAACTTCGTTAGATGAAGTGCAACTATGTTGATGACTGTTTCGCAGATTATTAAACTTTGGGAAGTTCCGATGTAGTTGGGAGTTTTAGGAAATACCAATTTTCTTTTTTCTTTACGGTAATTGCCTTGGCATCGAATTACTCTTAATTAAGCTTCCGCAGGTTTCTGTAACAAAAGTGAATGAAAAATTGAAGGAAATTTAAAAGCAATCGAAGGCCTTTGTTTCCAACCTGGAGGATCCGTGAAAGCGAGTTCCCGGGGCCAATAATCGCAGTCACGCGTGTCAATTGCATCGTCACGCAGAACGTCAGTAGGTAACAGCTCGTCAGAGACAGCTGGAGCGCGACACGTGCGTCGCGACGTGGCGACGTCGCAACCGTTTAACCAGTTCATGTTGCTCGGATATGCAGCACGTTTCGAATATGTATTAACCGTTTATCCACTTGAACCGTCTCTTCGCGTATGATGTTTGCGCCTGCAGGGCTTCGAACTTATTCGATGACGAGATGGAAATTTATGAGGAACGGGATAACCCGACCTAATGGCTCGTTCATCGCGTCTATCAGCTACCGGATATCTTCTCGGAGACGTGTTTTTACATCCTCTAGGAGATGGCTTCCTTGGGTTAGGTTGGGTTGGGTTGGGTTAGTCTATGATTAATTGGAGGTGCGTTTTATCGCTGCTCGACGTTTCTTCCATTTAGTTTCATTTTTCTGATGAAATGGATATCTGTTTACCATGTTCAATGAGGTGTAATTGAAGAGGTGGATTTCTAAGTTTTTTTATTTTAATTTAGAAAAATAAGTCAATTAATACCTTCGATATCGAACACTGTCGAATACAATTACTGTGAAAATGTTCAAACTTCTCTATTATTCTAAAAGTCTGTAGTTAGCCAAGTTAACCAAAAGTTCCTCTGTAGAGAAATAAACATCAGGGCCTGAAAGTGAAAAATAAATCTCCGCGAACAGGAACGTTTATTGTCAGCTTAAACTATCCGAGTACAAGTGAAATAACAATAATTTTAGAAGAGAAAATGGACAAGTATAGGCCATGTCGCATGGTACCTTAGTCCTATATGCGATGTCGTACGAGTCTATATCTCCAACGTCTTCAATGTTACTGAAACAAAATTATACGCGCAATAAATTAACAAACAAAAGATATTCTTCTTATTTGACGTACCTTAAAATCAGTCGAATTGCGTCTTCGATGAAGGATTCACCTGGAGGGCTCAATAATACCTTTGCTTCACAAATTGTCCTCAGAATACATTGTCGTCCTGGTAAATTCTGGCTGAAACAAATTGTGTGTGTTTTTTTTTACTCTTTGTAAAGGTACAAAGTATTCTGCAAGGAACAGGTTGAATTTTAAAAAGATTTTAATTAAGAGGACATGTGTACCTATCCAAAGCAGTCTCAAAATTAGCGTACAGCTCACGACGATGACGTCGTTTCAGTATCCATGGTCTTTTTACGAAATACTTTCTCTTGATTGGTACTTTCTCCGTGGTAGACGGTATTGGCCAGATCATATCGAACTCAAAATCCAGATTCCAAACTGCGGGCAACTTCACCGGAATCGGTTGCAAAATGGATATTGTCATCTATAAAAAAAAGAAATTGCACTGTTACACCAATGATAAGCACCCTTGACCAACAGCTATTAATTTAGAATTTTTGTGAAATTTGTAAACTGAAAAGGCAATATTCGGACGGTGAATCACTGAGACAACGATTATTTAGACATTATTTTCCCGAATATGAAATTCTTTTGTGTAAAAATAGAGGTACTCTATTCAAACATTCTCTAACCCTTCGAGGGGCATATTTTTCTTCCAAACAAATTATTAAAATCAAAGGTTATCTAAAGGTTTCTGGGGTCACTGATTACGATTCCTGTGACACTGCCCCTCAAAGGGTTAATGGGAGTGGAATACTTAATTCTACTTTCAGCCTCAACAGCATTGAAAAATTAGAGTGTCTAATTTTAACCTATGCACCGTTATACACCTTTCATAGGTCCAGGTCTCGATTGACCCATTTCCCACCGTCCGAAGATGAACTACCCTCTGCAATCACAAATATCACTAAATCACTGCTTTAATCTTCCATTCTGCCACGAATACCTGTCTGGCACACTGATCCCAAGGTATCTCGATTGGTATTCCGTCGAAAAACGCTTTCGTTTCCACAATTCCAAAAATGTCCACACTTACCACGAACGCGCTGCCCTTTGGAAAAGCGAGACGCCTACGTCTGGATAGAGTCACCATGGACCTTTGACTGGGAACGATGAAGTCGGTGTGATTACGGTGACACACGGTGTCCCCGAGGGCCGGCATCGAGTCCAGGATCTCGGCGAGAATCAGGACGAGCCACGGGGCTCTCATCTCGTGGAATTACCGGCTGAAATCAGCCGTTTCGCGGTTTCTCGAAGAGCTCAGACGTCTCCTGGGAGAATCAGCTGGCTTGAAAACTTCCTCCACGACGTAGCGATGAACATCTTTCGCGGTTACTAAGCTGACCGAAGCGGCGGTCTATCTGTTTACGCGTTCCTCGCGGACTGGCATCGTTCCGCTTCGAACCCGCCTCGAACGACCACGCGTGTTTGACCTTCCAGTTATCGAACCTGGCGTACTGTTTTTCATCATCGCACGAGTCGCTCGATTGTATTTGTCCAGGTTCTGCTTCTAAATCGGAGATGGACAGCGTTGTTTCACTTTGGAGATGATTATTTCTGGAAAGAGTGTTTATTAATATAATTAGATGGATGTAATTAAGAAGATTGAAGCACCTCTTGTTATATTGCCAATTCAAAAATTTTTTTCAATACCGTCTGCTTAATTTTTATCCCAAGTTACTCGAACCCTGAAGAATAAAATTCTCCTTTCGAATCTCTCCAGAAACTTTTTATTCATTCCTGAACGTATGCTGTTAAACGGCCTGTATATTGTAAACGACCCCTGTGTCTTTCCTCAGCCGGTTCTCGTGACGGAATTTCAAATTCGCGTAGCTGCTGGTTCTGAAGAATTCTGGAACGAAGAAGAAGAACCCGTCTCGATCCTGAAGCCGTGCTCGCTATGTAGGATCAGGGTGTTCTTAAATTTCGCAAATCTCCGGGAATATATTCAACGACGACGTCCCTGCGTTATCCAATCTCAAGGAATCCTGACCATTTTCGTGGCTCTCATCTACGGGGTAATTTTACTTGCTACCCCTATTCCATCTACGATGATGTTGCTACTTTTTCATTCCCTTTACAGCGTGGAACACGGTTGGAGAGTCGGTTGAGGAAGCAACGAGTGATTTATTCGATGTCCAAGACGAGGGCTGGTTTTCCTCGATGCCGACCGATCGGTCTTAATTAAACGGGTCGCTGCATTTTAAACGGGAACAGGGACTTCGCGAAATTGCGTCGGCCCAATACTTTTCGAATAAATGAATGAAGAGACGAGGGGCAACGCGAAAGGTTCGCTTTGAAGTCCACGAAAGTGAATTTTAAACACCCCCATCGTTAAACCTCTGTGCATTTCTGTTCTAAAGTATCGTAACAAATTCCTATTTAATATTATTAAAATCGTTCCAAAGGTTAAGGAAAAATTTTAAACAGTATTAATTCTTGTAGGTCTGGGTGACGATTGTTACGATTGCTTTCTGTTATATCATTTTCTACCCTGAATTTATAATCTTCTTCCCTGCATACTGTTGCAATTTTCGCGTACCGTGGAGTAATGCAAATTTCAAGCCCCAACTGACGTTCTCAAAGGGAGAATCGCGTTATAGGCGCATATATTCGCACACGCATAAACAGAGTATTCGGGTGAGAGGTAGACGCGTGCATGCAAGCAAAATAGAGAAACCATTGCACTAGATCCGAATCCCCGGAAGGTTGCGTGCTCCGGGATGCACACTGGCATTATTCTAGACAGTACCCAAGATTATTGTAGGACTAATGGATTCACTGATAACGTCTGCTCGATAGATAACGAGGCATCTTAGAAAATGTACGATCTCTGTAACAGTTACTCTCTGATTAATGAACCTTAAGGTTTCTTATTCTTCGAAAGAATCTGATTCGTTTTGTCCCTCAGACAGTTCGATGTAAAATATTAACTTTTCATCATTTGTTTTAGCACAATTGTCTGAAATGTGTAATTAATTTGGTGAAAGGAATTAACGTTGATTGGAAATTTCTTTATTTCAAGATTCACTTTAACCCTTGGCTCAATTGAAACTCGAATTTAAAAACAAAAATATTTAATAATTGGATAAAGGATTAAATTAAAATTCGGGCTCTCTCCATGGTCCGCTGTCCAAGAACAGTTTGTTCAGTCTGAAAAACTGTATGAAAATCACCTGAAATTCATCACACTGACCATCAAGATGTTAATGTAAAGCAGTAAGTAAATGAAGCACATTAATTAGAGACGATTTCCCTGCCACCTCGATGGCAGACGTAACTCGAGTGCTTTCGAGGAGCCTCCTAAACGGTCGAGGATCGGGTGGTCACTTAGAAAATGAAGAAGAAGGATTCTCTGTCTGTTCAGAACACGTTTGGACACTTGTCCAGCACTTCCTGGCACTTCTCCCTCCAAAGGTAGGCTCTGTCGTAGTCGGTCATTGATTCTGTATCGCTGAATCCATCTGGCACCCTGAAATTAAAACGATGATATGAAGAAAATAATTGACAAATCGCGATTAATTGTTAAACAACAATCCGGAGATTGCTGTACAGGGAAGAATAGAGGCAGCTTCGTTTCGATCAGCGAGAAGCTGACGATTCTTGACGCGTTGGAAACTTTCGAACGATTATTAAAACGGGACGGCGGGAAAAGTTGTCGAAGGAAATTCAGCGAGTTCAGCCTCGACGGGTTTCTCAAGTTTCCCCCGGTTGTGCCGGTCGAAGACTACGTCAAGCGTCACACCGGATGCCATGAATAAATTCAACGTGTTATCGAAAAAGTGTAACCCAGGCGAGCCCGTCTTGCTGGCAGCTTTGAACGGACTTCGAAAAACCTGCACCCGACGACAGTTTGATGACAGATACATCCGTCACCCATACTCTATTTTCTCTTCTGTCTTTTTATTTTAATCTTTTTTCGCGCCGTTCCATTGAAACATCCAACAAAGTTTACCTACCGACCTTTCATTGTTATATTCGATGAATATTGATTCCCAAGCGAATGAGAAATTTAAATGTCAATGAAGGTTTGGGAAGATATGAAGTTTACCGAGGGATCGCGATATTAAATTTCAAGGGGTGGCGTTTGCATATTAGCCTGTCCCTTTTAAACGATCAACCTTCGATTAATCAACGCCTCTGTCTGATCAATATTACATCTTCCTTAATCAATCTTTTCGCTAATCATCGTTTAACCATTCGCTTCGATCGCCACCTTCTTAGCTTCTCCCTTTCCCTTGATGAACATTCTATTAATCAACGCTTTCCATTTCGATCTCCTCTCCTGTTCGATTGTCTTTTAATCAATCTTACAATCGATTGAAAGATTGAATTGAAAAAAATTAGAAAGATAAAGACACTTACGTGAATACTGCGTGCAGAATCTCCTGAAGGAAGGATCCCTTGCCAATATCCTGTCGACTTCTTGCGGAGGCATCGCAGATCGCCTTAAGGACGCAGGACCTTCCGTCGTTGCCCTGACTTCGCAACAGGATACAGGGTTTAAGTGGTAGGTAACAGCAAAGGTCTCTCGGATCGTTTGTCATTATCGTCCTCGTTATCGTCGTCTTGCTGTCCGTTAGTCGGCGGTCTATTCATTAAGTTCGCGATAATACCGAGCCAGGGCTACCAAGTGGTACGGTGTAAACTGGTGAACCTTTACAAGCACCCACTCCGCCCTTTTCAGCTAAACCCGCCCAAAACCGTAGCCGGTTACCCCGAAAGCAAATACTGGGCAATTACAGAGCACGATGCTGCGCTATTAGGATTCGAATAATGCGTCCTTCCTGTCTATTCGCGACACCGCTGGGAATCTTGGGATCGTGTTTAACCCTTTGCCTACCAAGCACATATATATACGATCGTCAAACTGATTTTACAGTCCAAATCCTAGAATGCTTCCTTTTTTTTTTGAAAAATAATATATTTGAAATAATATTGCAGTTTCCTCTTTCAATTTATAGATCATCGATTTCCACCCCTTCTTGAAGAGGAAATGAATTTCGTTGAAATTAAACAGATAATTGAAACGACTTTTTATCATTCCTCTACTAGGATGAAAGTAACGAGTCGAACGAACAGGGAAATCGATTTCGTGGGAAGTAAATGAAACGGGCATAAATATAAGAATTAATCTTGAATGCCATTTGTCGGGGTCGCGCGAATTCCGATGCAGCAATTTGACAAATGGCTACCAATATCGGCCAATCGAAGATATTTATGCAAACGGCTACGCGACACGTGACGGGGTTGGGGGGTGTTTTAATCGATCGATAATGCTTCCTTTCGAGTAATGCACCCCTTTCGCCCATCGAGATAAATCCCTCTCGTTTGTCAATACTCGAACAGTCTTGGCTGGCCTTCTTGTGCGGTTTAACCCCTTCTATGTGAGGCCGTATATATACGTAGGTGAAAAACGACCAGTCATCCGCTAACGGTGTACACGAGTTGTCGACAAAGGGGGTATTTCACGTAAGAAAATTAATGAAAAACTAATTGAACCCCCTGTAATGCTCCTTCGATGGAAGCTATTTGATTTATTTCAATAAATTCTCTCGAGCCTCGGTTCATAATCACTCGGCTGAAGGATCATTATTTAAAATGAAACAAAGCAGAGGCACATTTTCGAGGAGGGCCCTATTCGTTCGTCAACATCTCGAGGCTCGCTTTATCGTTAACGCGATTCAGGGCGCACAATCGTGCCGAATCCACGAAAAGCTCAACCCTTTCACCGGCATCGACAGAAACGAGGGACGAAAGCTTTGCTTGGACGGCCGAGCTTTGTTTCTTTCACCAGCTTCTTCTGTATACGTCATTCATAAGGGGGTAGGAGAGAGAAGCAGAGCTTTGAGATTGAAAAAGCAGTTCTATCAGTGGCGTTTCGCGATCGCCTTCCATTTTCACAACGGAGGTCAACGTTTGTTCACGTTCGTGACGTGGATCGAAGGGATAAGGGGTGTTGAGAGCCGGCCACTTAACCCTCCTCTTGCTTCTCATTGTCGTTTTCGACGATTATCCGGCGAGAAACGGACAAGTGGCCAGACAGAAAGCCGTTTTATCGACGGTAAAAAAAATTCCTTGTTTTGCATACACAAGGAAATGCCTCTCCAATCGGCCGAAAACGAAGAAACCCTTCGCGGAGTGGGAACAATGCGGCGAACCCTCGGAACTGTGAAAAGATCATATTGGGAAAAGTAAACCCAATTCAATCGTGAATTCATGACATAAAAGTACCATAAAATGGCACTTATGATACGTCAATTTAAAGCTTGAAGTTTCACGAAAATAACTACTTAAAGGACTCGTTAATATTCTTCATACAAAATGTCTGGTTGCTACTTGAAGCAAACTATGATAAATTTTGAAATGTATGAAGTCTAATTGAATTTGAAGATATAAAGATATTGTAAAATGGCACTTATGATATTTCAATTTAAAGCTTGAAGTTTGACGACAATGTTCCATCAATATTCTTAATAGAAATTGGCTGGTCCTTCGTTGAAATGCATAGAAAGCTTCAAGAATATTCTTCCCTGTGAACCAAGAGCAATTTAATCGTGTTTTCGAGGTCTTTCATAGTCGGATGTTGTTAAAGATTTAATTTCACCGGAAATGGTACATTTCGGAGGAGAACGCGATATCTGAATTGCCATCTAAGTGACCGCGTCTCGCGTAAAGGCGCATCGAAACTGTGCCAGCTAACTTGGTTAAAAGATCCCTCCCCCTTCGTTCCCTTTTGCAGTCTCTTTAGAATTTCTATTGCGTTAAAAATGAAACGAAGAAGAATATGAAAAACAAGGAAATAAAACATTCTTCAAACCTCCATTTCCTTTGGAATCTTTCTCTATTCACCGACCTGGAAGTGTTGAAACATCGTATTTTTCACCTTCAGAAAATTATTGCAAAATTATTTCTTTCAGAAATAATTACAAATTAAAATTGCATCATTTTGCTTGCCTTCAACACTTTATAGTTTACTTATCTGTAGTGGTACAGGCTGAAAACTCCAGCCAACGTCTCTAAAACTTTCTGAACACGTAATTCTCAGCTTTTCAACCGAGAATCCCCTCGGTTTTCCTTTAATCCCCCCAATTCCTCCACGAAAGAACCCCCTTCAGAATCTCGCTATTTTAATCGCTAACACGTTTCCACGATTCGACCAAGAAAACTGGCCATAGATTTCGAGTACAAAGATCTAAAAACGGTTTTATCGACAATCACCGTGATCCCTTTGATCCCTTCCTGGCAAAAATCGCGCGATGATTCGGATTTTCGTACGAGAGAATGCGATGAACGGTTTCCAGGGATTTTTCTATCGTACAAGAAATGAGGGAGGAGCTTTTTTTCGACAGGGTAAATGCTCAAAGAAGTTTCCTTCTGCAAGACTCTTTTCAAACTCACCTTCCCAACAGAAGCTCCACTTTGCGATACAACTCTCTTCTGCTTCGACGATGATAATCCCTGAACTTGTTTGACAGCAGGCTCTTCGAAGGCAACTGCCATGCCTGACCCGCTGTCACTCCCAAACTGAGCAAACCACTAGGCTTCACGTAGGTGCCTATGGTCATACAGTACACCAGCTGGAAAGATCAGTTAACGTTTCAGAGAATAATTGGGAAAATTGGGGCTAGGCTAGGAAATATAAAATATAAAATTGAAGATGAAAAATAAAAAATTGTACGATGGGAAATTGAAGAATTGGGAATAGGAAATGGGAAATTCGTGGGTAAGGAATTGGGGGTGGGAAATTGTATAATGGGAAATTATGGGATTGGGGAATAGAAAAATTATTAAATAACACTAACAACCAGCAAGTGGCAGAAAGATTAAACTCACTTGAATATTGCTCCCTTCAGGGAATACCAAGTATTTGGTCTCGAATTCCCTTTTGGTCCGTTTGATACTATGATTCGTGGAAACTGAGAGGTCAAGGAGACACAGAAATCCGATCAACGGTATGACAAACGACATATTCATAGTCGATGTTCCGTTATAGTTCGCAAATTACGTTGTATAACGTAAGTGAATTGGTCGAGCTGGTTCCCTCGGACAGAGACGATAAGTGACTGAAACTGGTGAATGATATAATGACAAGTAATGGTGGTTAGAACGTTCTCCTGGACCATTTAGCGAGCAGTTTAAGGCGGGGTCGTTAAGTCTCCTTAAATTAGTCGTTAAAATCTACCATGGCAATTGTATCTGGCTCTTTAAGTGTCCATTTTTCGCGCTTTAGGTATAAATGATTACATTATTCCATTTTATAATGATACTGGAACAAGATTACTTCTGAATCCCTTTGAAATGAAATAATTTATCTAATCTCTAAAAAATTCCACTTTTATAATTATTATTTTTTTTGTAATATAATAGCTACTAGAATTATACAAAATTTTTAATTTCCATTAAGTGAATATCCCTCGCAATCTAATTATCAGACTATTGCATATTAAATGGACATAAAAGTGCAAAATACCACTTATCTACTGATAGTGCATAGAAACACGCCCCTTAAAAAAAAATGTATTATCGTTGGTGAAAATCCGCAGTTCCGTTTCACCAGCGACGAACATTCGCAATTATATTTTCGACCGACAAGTCCGGTGGATAAAATTTCACGAACACCGTTGAATGGAGACCGTTCCCCATCGTTCTAATTACTCGCCGAGCACGGAACGATGATCCGCGATCTTTCCACCATTTTCTATTAATTCTCGTCGCGGATCGTATCGCAGTAATTCGCGTAATTCAACTCCGGTTCGTTGACACCCCGTGGCCCAGGACACTCTTCGTTCCGCCGACTACTTTGCTATTTATGCGACCAGCCCCGACGAAATCCATTTGCGTCATTTATTCAACCTGTCTGCTTTTATACCCGGCCGTCGCTTTGTCATTTTCGACGTTGCTGAATACAAATGAATATTATTTGTAAGGAGGATTAATTTTATGAGGTACCTCCGAAAAATCATTCGTTTCTTGTCTTCGATATTAATCCTCCCAGAGAGGATTCAACTTAATAAAAATATTTTCTCTTTCAGTATTCCAAGTGTCCTTGAGTTTTTCATATTTCTTTGGAATAAATTATTTCAAAATTTCAATTGTTTCGCATAAAAAGCCTATAATATTGTTGAAATAATAGACATTCAGAAAAATGCTACAGTTCAAGATCACGCGGTAAAAAATTACCTCTCTGACAAGTGTGCAATTAAAACTGACCATTGTTGGTAATACTTGAACAAGCTCAAGTTTTCAGTCTGGTCTGAAAACGCAACGCACGAGTGCGTTTCTCGTGGAATCGAAATAAAGAGCCATCCACCCCGGGAAGGGGTGCGTGTTTCATTCAAAACCAACCAGAGATTTTTATTTCTCGTTCAAAACCGCGTCGCGAATGCATTAATAAAACGTGGAGAACGTATTTAGCGTAATACTTGCTTGTTTAATATTGGACGTTTTTCTTTTTACCGTTTACAAAAAGCTCGACACTATTCTCGTTTAACAAACCATGAATCCATCGATAGAAATCGTATGAAATTTGATTAGACAATTTTTCGGATAAAAGCAGAACGATAACCGACAGCTATACATAGATAGATTTGTTTCAGAGAAAACGAAACGAACAAATTTGTAGAGGTGGCACTCTTCCAATTAATTCTACGTACACTCGCGCTCTTTCGTCTTTTATTTCCCTCTCATGAAATTCTTTTTAATCGATACAATGAATTAAACAGATTACCCAATCGAATCGGTCCTGACGTCGATTCCAGACCAATCTCCATTTCTCTTACCACCATACAGTAAATTAACCTACAGCCTCTTTCGAGCTTTCGTTCGAAATCAATCAGCTCTTTCAGGAACTTTCTTTCAACTTCCTCTTTTCTATTTCGAAATAAAGTTACCCGTTTTATTAAATATTTCTCTGTAAATTGATTCGACTAATTTATGTATACTAGCCTGATTACAAGCTGGAAGTTAGAAATGACTAATTATTCGAAGCGAAATTAAATAGGAGTTATATGGAGATACAGTTTTAATTGAAACGCTGATTGCTCGGGGATCCTCGGGAATTATTAGGAACATGCGAGAATAAATTGTGTATTAAAGGGTTAATTGACCCTGTGCTTCATATAATATTGATAAAAGCACGGATTTGGAGAGTTTTCTTAAAAAAAAAAGAAAAAAAAATGAATTCAGATCCGCACAACTTGGCAGCAATCGGGCAACCGTGTTCGCGGTGGATGAAGATTATGCAGTGATGCGGCAATGTTCGGGTTGAAAAATCGTCCAGTACCGGGATGGTAGCCAGGAAAACTTCGGAAGCGTTTCTTCCTCGGGGCACGTCCGAAAGAAACGCGGTCAACGGTGAACACGCATACGAATGCGTCCAATTGCACCCTTCCTTCAATTCTTCAGGGACAAATTTATTAACCACTTCCCCTGCAATAACGTGTCATCGTTAAAATGGAAATAATTTATTTGTGATTATAGTACAACGAATAAAAATTTATTACAATATTAAAATGTCTCCCTATTTTTATTCTGCAATATTGTAAATGTTTATTTACACCGATCTTCATCGTAATCTCGATAAGGGTGTTTGACTAAAAGTGGAAGAAAATTGAACGTACACATGAGTATCCCTGAAGAGGAGCTCAGAAGTCTAGGTCGTAAATGGAGTGCCGGCAAGTCGGATAAAGTTGGCCGCAATTTTCACTGCTCCGGTATGCGTGCTCGTAAGCTTGATCCCGCGATCGCTCGAACCTTCCTCCGTCCCTGGGCAACCTGCAACAAGGAAAATGGGATTTAAGGTAGCCAAATGGAACTGACGAATCAGAGAATTCCTTCGAACGATAGGATCTACCGGAATCTGATTTTCGACCCGATTCCATCAGGAAACACGTGAATTTTCCTCGAATAAATTCAATTAACCGAAAGTTTATAATCTTTGAAATTTCGCTCTTGGTTAAATTTTAATCCCGTCCAAGTTTGGTTAACTTTAATGGCTACTGTTTCCTAGCAAAATAGCTAATCGATTCTCGGCGAAGTAAAAGTTGGAAAGTTTCAAACTCCAGGGAAAATTGATTCGTATAGGATAAAAGATTAAGGAATTCGATACACTGAACGCTGGTTTCACTGAATTAAGAAACAATTGAACCGAAATGATTTATCCATGCTAAATTGACCGGCTAAGTGTTGGTTAATCGGTTACATGGGTCCACTCGTAACTCAATCGTTTCGGTTGATTAGTTCCTTTAATTGATTACATGCCGGTCAGCCCGACGTTTTGGCTTGATAATCGCTCTAATTGACTAACTGTTCGTATTAGATACGCTCCTGTTTTGTCGCTGAATGTTTCATTATGTGCCCATCAACGAGTACGTGCGATATCAATCTTCCTCCTTCGATCCGTTACATGCACCCGTACGATGAGAATGCATTTGTAAAAATGCAACAAAATTTCTGAGAATCTTTAAAAAATATCAATAACTATATTCAAAGGAGATTCGATCTATTGGACTTGTCGGCAAGACGAATTACAGTCAGTCCAAAGGACGTGTATAGGAATGGATATTGAATAATGGATATAATCAATTGAAGGATGGTTGAGGGAGGATTTGCGAGAAAGTTATTGCAGATGTCTCTCCGGTGACCCCAATATGAATGCAAATATATCACTTAATATTAATGGCATTATCATTGTGCTGTTAATATTTTACACCATATTCATACCCAGCATCCGGTATTAATACAGTCATGAATATAAACGATATCTTCTGTGTAAATGTAATAACTTTATAAACATTAAAATCTCTGTTAGTAAATTTTTGTAACGCGCAAAGAAGAATGTACTTACGTAAATATTACGTGCAGAAGTTCCTGGACCAGGGTTCCTTTGCCTACGTCAGCAGGATCCCGTTGAGCCGCTTCGCAAAGTGCCTTCATCACGCAAGCCTTCCCATCAAGTCCCGTCCTGTCAATGACGTTTAATTTAAAATATTTCCCCGTCTGAAAGTCGGAACAAGCGCTCGAGCTCGGAGAACGCGCTACGCTATACCGGCCGATACCACCGCCGGAAACTTCCGCGACACGAACTTCCGGGATAACTAGGCGTCGCACGAAATCGCTGTTTCGAGTCATTAGAGCGTTCTTGAATCGACGGAACGGTGTTGATTAAATTAGCAGATTTAAATTCGTTTCGTTCCTTCTGCTTTGTTAAAAAATAGAAAAGTAGGAAAAGTTGGTGAGGAGATAATTTTAGAATTATTTTCCATGATTTATTCTGAATAATTCGTTCTGTAATATGTTCATCGAGTAGGGGGAAGGCGTTGTATAAATGGGACAGAATCGAATCGAGCGACTTCCTGTTTCGTTATTCTCACACGTTTCTCATGAAAATTCCTGAGCCTGCCATGCATTTGCATGTGCCAGCCAGGAAAAAAAGGGCTCCATTTGCATGTTATATCACACTTCAGGAGCGAATAGGAAGCGAGTTTTCGTCAGACAAAAACAACAAGCGAACAAGGCACAGAGGGATCACAAAAAAAAAGATATTAAAATTCCCACCATTCTCCTCCCTTTACGATCTAACACCCTGTTTCCTACTTAGTTTGTGACACTAGTGAAACTCATTAAACGAAAAGTAAAAAAATCACGATGATTATAGAGAAAAAGGTAGATTTTAAGTAGTATAAGTCAATAACACTGCGACCATGGGTAAATAATTTATAAAATTAATTATGAGAGGAAAAGGGAAATATCAGAAGCTTAGAATTACTTGAAATTGTCACACGAAGTAAAGAAAATGTCTTAGGTTACTAATTTCTAAACGTGGCTGAAGGAAATTAGAGCGAACGCTGTTATCAAGTAGTACAAGTCAATAATAGTTGCGTCACTCCCGTTAACAAGCGGATTAAATGAAAGAATACCTTTCGAAGTACAGTAATTTACTTACGACTGCAAAAACGCCTCTATTTTGGGAAACATGACGCTTCTGGTTCGACGATGAAGCAGCTTTGTTACTTTTGGGTCAACTTTGGTCGGTAGCTCCCAAGCCATAGCAGCTGTTATTCCCACCACAACGTCTGTTTCTGTAATGTACGTTCCAAAAGTCAGACAGTATACCATCTATCAAACAGAAAAGCAAAAATACATTTTTAATTAATGTAATTAACTCTGAGTGTGATTACTTTATGACAAAAATTTTGTTAATTTTTTACCTGCATATTGCTGCCCTCCGGGAAGATCAAGTATCTTTTCGGCCTGGATAAAATCTTCGTGTCATTTTGATTCTCAGTAGCATGGATCGTTAAAAAATCAAGACACAGGAGAAAAATAGCAAGACGTCGAATGCCTGGCATCCCTTCGACGAAATCACACCACTATTTCTCCTTCTCATGCGTTTTGATTTATCGAAAGAGAAAGCAAATTTCCCTACGAAAATCGAGTGAACACTGATAGAGTGCGTTCTATACTGAGACATTTTACTCGAACTGGAAGATCAGTAACAGGCGTGAGTTAACGGGAACCGACTCGCTCCTTTTCACAGGTTTGATCAGAAGTAAGACGACAATTATTTGCACAAACAAAACGGCTCTCCATTCTGTAACTAGGTTAAGATCTATGTAAAAGTGTCTGGAAATTGCTAAAAGTGCCATAATTGCAAACAAAATTTAATATTTAATAAAAAAAAGGGAATATTAATAGTTGAGTTAATATCCTAAAATTCATTTGAATAAATGTCATTATTTCTTTTTTTTTATAAAATCTAACAATAAAAGCAAAGGTTCCACTCGTTTATTGTACTTTCAACAGCTTCCTTATATTAATTCATCCTATCTTCACTGGCAGGATGTAAGCCTAGTAAAAAAATAAAGGAAGTTCATCCAAGAGGAATAGGGAGAGATGTTTTTCACCAGGCCAAGGTACTTATTTCCTCATTTCGTAGACCATAGCTGCGCAACGAGCGTCTGTTAATTGCATATGGGAGTTGCGCGCTCTCGCGACCACCACCCACACCATATTCGTCGTCTCGGGCAAGAAAACCGCACAGCATTCTAAATTAATGCTTTTCGTTAACGCGTGGTCCGACGTGGATGCAATTATAACCGTTCTGTCGTGGAATGTTGGCGAGAGCTGTCGCGGAAGAGTGGAAAATTCACCGGGATGATGAACGACCGACACTTCCGGTTCAACTTCTACAAATAAGACCCTACGAGGAGATATCGATTCGTTGGAAAAATAAGAATCATCAATTCGCGATCGACGATTTGATTAGTTCTTTTATAATAAAATTTAATTTATAAATAATTATCCAGCAAAAATTAAAATTGTTCTATCAACTTTGAATAAAACGACCTTCATCACGTATTTAAATGGAAGATATCAATCAGGATCAAGCATATTGTAACTCAATCTTCATTTTATTGCTCTATAAAACTATCGATTCCTATTAACTCGAGGGGGCAATTCTTGACGTGAATGTCGCAGTAAACAGCATCCTCCGGCAAACTTCCATTATTCCCGTACGATCTGAAATTAACCACGATTAATTAACTAGGAATTTTCGTACGAAGAAATGGACACTAATTTTGCTTACCCCATCAGTAATTTTAATATTTTCGCTATTACCCCATCTCTGTGCCTCACGTACTCCATCGCTTGGCAAATGTTCTTCATCAGACAGGATCTACCATCGAAACCGTGGCTGAAATGTTCGTGGAATATAAATTAAGATTTCAAACCATTTCGACCAACAAAATGCTTATTTAGCGTTCGAAAATTTTCAAAATGAAGAAAAATTCTTTTCAATGATACTTTCGAAAATTTTTAACTCCGAATAACATTTTAGAATTCCATTGGTGTGCCAGTTCTAAATTTCGACAAGTTCCACCTTTGTTTAAGAAAAATAAAGAAGCCAGACTGAAAGGAGGTGCACGAACGGGTCAGAGGATAAAATTCTGAGAAAAATCGAGGAAATCCATCGGATGCTTAGCTGGAAGGGATGAAACGAAGGATAGAGGAGCCCGAAGGAAATAAGAAAACGGAAGTGAAGGTAGGGCGGTGACTAACTGCGGATGCAGTCGGCGGGTACAGCATTGGCCGATCCAGTGGTCGAGGCCGGAAAGCCTCGGCCCCGATGGCCAGAAATCCATCCGGCACCCTTTTCCAGCAACCCTTCTCGCCAATTTCACAAGACTTCTCTACGTCTCGCTACCGCCCGTTGCATTATTCACGGACTATTAAACTATTTATTACCTTTCGTACACCAGTTCCGCGGCCTCGTGAACGTCGGAGATGGACCTCTTGATCCGAACCGGCCCGCTAGGAAGTTCCCACACCAACTTAAAGCCGGCTGCATGGGCGAAGATCGTGGTGTACGAAAAGGTAGTCAGCTTGTAATTCACCCTGTACTGAAAAAGAAAAATGATGGTTAACAATGGCAAGGTTACAATGGAAAATTGTAAGAAATATTACGAGAGTTCTGTAGCGAAGATTTAATCCTTGGACGGCGGACCATGGAGAGAGACCCAATTTCATATCATTTTCATTTTCTGAATTTTACACCGTTTCTTTTTGTTTCAAAATTATATTTTTAACTTGAGATTAATATCCTTGAGAGTTAATTAATAAAGATAAGATTTATCTCCGGAAACTCCTGAAAGAATGTCGGCTCTCAAGGATCTCCAATTCATGAAAATATTGCGAGTGTGCATTCCATCGTGTTGCATAATCCAGCTGGGGAGGGTATGAATGTATTCAGGACTGTCGAAAGGGAACGATGATAAATTGCGAGGACGTATCCACGCGATACATTCTCTAAAGTCACCGGCAACCTCTTTTTAACCGTCCACCCTGTCCGTCTCAAACATCATCCTACCTGTAATTAATTGGAACAAGAACATCTTTCAAGTAGCATCGGCTGAGAAATTGAATAAAGTTTCCCGTTATCATAACACTTTCACGAGCTCTTCATCTGTGAAGGAGCTATCGCCTTAGTTATCGAATAAAGTGGCACGCGATTGGGGGGAGGGGGTAGTTTTGCACTTTATTATTGCTCGCTGCATATTGGCCCACGGTCGAGCGGAGTGTATCGATTTATGGATGCTGATCTGAAATTCAGCCGGTGTCTCGTACATTAGGAGGAGTAGCGCACGTGCAGTGTCGTCGATACCAGCGCGTTGCACTCGCTCGTAAGTGCACCGGATCATCGCGAGCTGCATAATTCTTCTGGTGGAATGGCGGCTGGAAATGCAGCCTACTCGAGGCTCGCACCTGCTGCACCCCTAAAATCCTAAATTCTCCGTCACTGGGTCGAACAAATTCCGTTGGAAACGTTCGCTGGAAATTTTACGACCGAACGTAAACTTATTACAATCAATACGGGATGTTTCGTTAATTTTACTAATTAAATATCGTTGTTCTCGTATGGAAAGGGTTAAATATACCGTTTCGATAATTTCGTTGGTCGATAGGCTGTCGGAACGCGTGTTCTTCCCGTGATATAACGTAAACTGATCGTAACGACATATTTTCAGCTTGAAAGGGTAGCAGATGAGCACTCGGTGATGCACCGCATTAATGCACTCACTATGAAACCATCGCGCCGTAATTCGTGGATCCTGAAATGTATTATGACTACGAGTCGAACGCATTATCCTAGTCACGGTTAGGTCGTGGAAAATTTACTTCAGCTATCGAACCGTGTAGGGTCAGGTCGATCCCCTTTTTTAAAATTATTTAATACTCAAAATATTAAAATATTAATAGGCTTAAAAAAAAAATATGATTAACGATTTATTTTTATAATTGCGATTTAAGAACTTTCTGATCGAAAGATTTTATTAGCGAAAGTAGGGAGGCAGTTGGCAGATACTTACGAAGTAGGAGCTGCCCTTCCGGAACGTCAAGGACCTGGTGGGTCTGTCTGCGGCGACGAGTTTGGCCGCGGTAATGAAGGTAACACAGAGGATGCTCCAGAACAACAGTCGCATAATCAGCATGGATGTCGGGAGCTGGGCCAAGATGTCCTCGCAAACTTGCCGCACGAGACTCGTACAAACTTGCTATGGAAATACTCCCGTCTGTCCTGGAATCCTTGCTCCGTTGGAATTGAATCTGTTGGACGGACAGCGGTGCCTTGGAATATTGATAACGGTGCTTTGGTCCCCACCAATCCGAGAATCCTTAATTTTTTGAGAAATTTAAATTACTCCTGGCTCCTCCTCTTTCTAGGTACATATTTATTTTGTACGATGCCAGAGCTTGTAATTTTTTACCAACGAAGGAAGGTATACGGTTGAAAATTCACCTTAATATCAAATGTCAGAAGAATAAAATTGTTACCTAAAAATATATATAGTACAGTGGCAATCAAATCAGGCTCCTCCCCGGGGAAAGTGGTTTCTATCTTGGAAAAATTTGAATTATTTACCTTGTTAAATCTTGTAACAGATGATAGAAAATTATATTATTTTTTCCAAATTACTTCTAACATTTTTATCATCAAAAGAGGAGAAAATTTTCAATCGCAAAAGGACAGGAAATATAAGTTTCATTTTTCATATTTAGCACAGTATTGTTTTACATATATTTCACATGCATGAAAAGCACAAACGCATTGTTCAAGTTTTCCAAACCGATTTCTTTATAGACTTGTTCGACGACAAAACTTCTCGATCAAGTAACAGTAGAAACAGCTATTCCCTGATACGCCGTGAGCGTGCGATTGTATAAGTGTACTTATCAAACAAGGCAGTTCATTAAACTTGGCAAATGCATTTAACTGTACTTCTCGAAGCGAGACGGAACGTCCGGGTGGAAAATCGACGAAATAATTCCCATGAGTCGCAGAAATAGAGACTTTGTCAGCCGGCAATTGCTGCTTTAAATGTGAACCCTGCCTTTCGATTAAAGCGACTTCAATTAAACGTCCGGTTCGCGCTTTAAAACGATCCCGTGAAACTGGCACTTAATAATAAATTATCTCGCACCTATACACAACCGATGATATTCCTCACAAACACCTGTTTGCAGTATACTTAATCTAGAAAGCTGTATAAAATACCGACGGCAAGCATCCTCGTTTCTTTTTTCTCTCTCTCTCTCTCTCTCTTTTTCTTCAATTTTTTTATTTTCTCTTCTCTCTGATTAATCGTGCCTCGAATGCGAGGAAATTCGAGGAGCAAGTAGCACGGAGAAAATGAACGTGGTGGAAGGGAGAGGCGGAGGGGGAAAAAAAGCGTATCGTGGTGGATCAAAGAATCTCCGTTTCATAAGCCACGCTGAAAATTATTTCGACGCTAGCCGGCCTTTAATTAACGAGAATTTCGCGTGGAAAAGTTACGAAAGCTGTTGGCTTGCGCTGGCTGGCTTGCTTGCTCGTTTATCGCGTCGTAACGAGCGTAACAGCGTGTGTAACGCAAGACAGAAAGAGATTTATTCCGCTGTGAAGGAAAAGTTGACGTAACGCGAGCTTGATGGATGCAACTGGGTCGAGGAAGAAAACTAAAGCCGCGAGAAGTGGCGAACGTACGTGAAAAATCTGATAAACCGGATGGATGCTGAGTTAATAAACGATGGATATTTTGTCTAAAATTCCGGCACCGAAAGGACAGGACGGATAAAGGGACGAACAATTTTCTAGTCTTCTTCCGGCAGTGGCAGCCTCTAAATACTCTCTGTCCATCGTCGACGCGTCTCCTTGATCGGGTCTGTAATGAAAGATCAAACGGATAAACGATGTTTTTTTTTCTAATTAAATTTGGAAGAGATCGAACGATCGATAGCGAGTGAATCGAAGCGTCTTACGTTAGGAGCAGATGCAATATTTCACCGACCAGACCTTCGTCTTTCAAAGGTGTCGCAGCAGCCTCGCAGATGTTCTTTTTCAAGCAACTTCTTCCGTCGATGTTCCTCCTAAAAAGAGTGTTTAATAATTAGAAATTTTTATAAGCAGACATTTTAAATTTTAAACCGAAATATTTGTATCGTGTACCTAATATTGTAGAGATTATATCATAACGCGTCACAGCAATTAAACTCTGAAATTACATATTAACGTAATGTACACTTTCTAATTGCTTTGCACATTGCATAAATAATTTATTAAATTTGTATCCCATGTATTCCATATTCGAATGGCACAAGTTGCGGGACATTTTACACAAAATCGCGCGATCTGCCGCGAATAGCGACCAATGGAATTAATATACAAATTGTAATATCAATATATTATTTACAAGAATTTCGATAGGTTAATTGCCCTTAGCGACACAGCGTTAAATACCAAACATCCCGAGTTTGTTCATCAAAATTGCAACTATTAATTCGTCAAAGCTGTTAATTCATAAATTGACGAGGCAAAGTTTCAGCAGTCCCCGGGAGGGACTAATTGCACGCGATTACGAAGCTAGAAAGAGTTAACGCGTAAACTCGTGGATGCTTACCTGTCGAGTTCTTGTTGGAGAACGTCGTAAACAGGAGCCCTCTCGTTCCAACTTACGCTTCTGCGATGTCGTCGTGACGAGCCCTCGAAGAAGTTGGTGAAGAAGGTTGCATTGTCTGGCATCATGTATTGGAACTGAAAGTTTTGGCCGTAAACCAAAATCTTGCCGGAAAGCTGCACCGGCACTGCTATGCCCACGACTAGCTTGACAGAAAGGCAATAAATATACAGATGTAAGCGTTAGATGCGTCGAATTCGATTTCAAAGATATTCCCTCCTGAAAGCTTGCCATCAAATCGTACTAAAATATCAACGTTTCCAAATTTCATGAAAATGTAACTAAACATAAATAACATTGATATTTTAACACTGGTAAAATGTCAAGAAGACTAATTATAATGGGTGATCAAATTATTAAAAACTCTGTTTAATTAGATTTGCAATTAAGAATTTTTTAAGTAAAATCGTCAATTTATACGAGTGGCTCTGATAATTTGATCACCCACTAGATCACTTTAAGTAGTACGAGTCAATAATAAACGTTCGTCCCCCCAGAAAACGTGCACAAAGGGATTGAACGTTCCTCAAATTGGAATTCGTTAAAAATACATATTTAAGGAACAATCTGTTCCTGAATAAGGGAGAAAAAATTCCATCGCTGAGAGTAAGTAAGCGTGTGAAACATTCAAGATAATAAAAGCTTCTTCCCCTTAACTCTGGCTTTCTTTGGATCACCGAAGACGGATCGTTAAAGAGCTTTCGACGAGGGTGGCTACGAAGAAGAAGACGTTTCTGTGTTTTCACTTTGGAGAAAAACGGGCAGCCCGTCAAAAGTGTATCCGAGCGACGAGGAGCGAGTTACAGAGCGAACGCGACAACAATCGTCGCGCTCTTTGTCGATGGTGAAAAACGTTGCGAGGTACGAAGCAAATGACTCGAAGACCGTCATTAAAAAGAAGTCCTGAGAAGAAAGATGGTTGGAACGGATGTGCGAGGGAGAACGAGAGAGAAGCGGCTTGTCTCACGGGGTAAGAGTAAGAAAAATTCGTCAACTTGTGTCGTAATGTAAACGAGCATCTAGAAAAGATCTGTGGCAAAGCGATTTTCATGTTTCATGATATTTCGCTTGGTTTGCTTGCCGACGCCTCGAGACCAAGTGTAAGGCTTGCAAAAACAATGCAACTCAGTGTAGAACTCGGTCGTTGAACGCTTGACAGAGAGAGAGAGAGCAATTAGAGAGCAGAAAAATCCTGTCTTCAAAGCGTACGCTGGATAAAAAGGCTCCGAAAGATTTCATTAAAGTTGCCGCGTACCAGCGACGCTGCGAGAGAGAAGATTGACGTTGAAGTTTAACGAACGGGAATTCCATTCGTTTTCACGTTCGAAACTATGTGAAAACGAGCCGAGAGATCGTTACTTCGATGGATCGTTGATAATCTTTGAAAGATAATTAACTGTCCGACTGAGACAGCAAAAATTTGTAATCAAAGATTAATTTTAATCGAAGGATTTTTGTCTACTTTGCTCGATACTATACACATTTTCTTCGTCTGGGGTCACGATTAACCCGGCGTCTGCCGTTCAACGGTTAAGAGATTACAGCTGAAGACAGTTTCCATTCTGAGAGTAATTGTCAGAAAAAAAAAAGGGAACATCGTAAAGGGGTTCTCTTTCAATTCCGAGATAGAATCTTCTCGGAATTGTTGGAAGGAACTTTTGCAAGTGTAAAGAATTTAACAGACAGGGGAAGGGGTAGAAGTCGAAAAGGAAGTCTGGATAAAGTAGTTTTCCCTTTTCCTCGGATTCGCCTTGCCTTTGAAATCGTTGCTCAAGCGAGATAAATGTGCCGGATGTAATGAAATGAAAAGCCCAAGGAAACGAAATCAAACGGACAGCAAAATTGGCCCTGTTGCCGTATCAGATGATAAAAAGACTATAACGAAAGGAAATATTCAGAGATGCTCGGCATTCATTCGTTTATTTCTAGAGAATAATCGTGTTGATTAAAATTCAAAGAATTTTCGGAACGACGTTCGGGAAATAAATATGTAAAGGGTAGCCGAGGATAGGGGATGAAAATAAAATCGTGCGAAAAGAGGTAGCAAGAAGGGTGTAAAAATACAGCAGTACTCGGATGTTTTTTTTTTTGTCATTTCTGGAGAAATTTCGCTTCCGCGAACCTTGGTCCTCGTATTTCAACTTTTGGAATACTGCTTAACCCCTATTCGTTTCCAAGATATTAAGCCGTCGCTGAACTTTCTTTCTCACCCTCCACCTCCGTCCTGCACTTCGTTACTTTCCCCGTTTCTTTAACCAAGTTGACATCGTTGAAAAGATATCCTGTAACTTCAATTATACAAACGATGTATTACCAGTAAAGTTTATGAATGGAATAATAGATTGAAATGTTAGTTTCCGAAGGTCTTTTAAGAAGTCAGCACGCGATGGAAGTATTTATACGATCTTCCTGATAAGATGGGGATGCGAAGACACGGAAGTAATTCAAAGTCGCTCTTCTTTTCCAACTCTGCTTCCTCGCTGTTTTTCTTCTCGCTTTGAAGCTGCGCTTTTGACGCAGTGCAGCTTCGCCTGTTTAGATACATACTGACCCAGAAACGGTGAATTTTATTTCGCGTCAGTTTCCCGCCTCCATAAGGCAAATTCCCAAATATTTGCCGGGATTCGCGCAGCCGCCTGAAAATCCGCCAATCAGACAGTTGATCCGTGAAGGAACGCTTCTGCATTCGACATTCAAGAACGAGAAAAAGATTTAAATTTAATAGAAAAATTTCGAATCGTTAATCATTTTCAAATTATTGCAAGTTTAAAAGTTTTCCCGTTTAATTAGAAAATTGCACGGAAAATAGAAGATAAAAACTGCAGTTAATTATAGGAAAATTCCGGGGGGTGAAACACGCTCGAGTCCTGAACTCGAGGAATCCGGTTTAGTTTGTGTTCCGTTTCCGGTACCGATGTCGAGGACTTCGAGAAGAGATCGAGACGGGGAAGACTTAACCAGACGACTAATTAATTCGTACCTGACGGACCGACATCCGAGACGTTAATTGCGGAAAGGAAAACAGTGCGGCTGTCCACGATAGAGACTTCCGATTTCGCTGTTTCCCCTACTTCGCTACGAAGATACGCTTTGCATCGTCAACTTTTTTAGTCTCGGATCCATTCGGAGCAGGTATTAATTAATGGCGCTGAAAGAAAAACATCAGCTTCCAAGGAGGAACGTTATTTTGCCTGTGATTCGGGCTTTTTGTAATTTGCAATGTGTCTGGTATGCTCAAAATACTGTCTTTCTTTTATTTTCAAAGGATCGTTGAATTCTGGATACCCGGGTACCCGAAATTAAGGAGTCGGTTCAAAATATTTGCAGGGTGACTTCGTTGCTCGAAATTCTCATCGAATTAGTTCAGAAATGACCTGCCATCCAAGGATTTTCTTTTTTAATAATATAGGACACCTTTTTCTCCTTAGAAATGTGTCGGAGATTTTTTGTCGCGTTTCTTCTGGACAAGTTTATTCGTTATATCAATTAGAAGCGTAACGAGTTTCGTGTCGGTCGACGATGATACACGAATTCGCTTACGGGTCGCGCAACACGCGCGTGAATCCGTTCAAAACCGGGAAAATTTGAATACGCAAGATGTACGAGCGTCCGAGGATATTTATGTGGCAAGAAGGACGCGAAATAAAAGGGGAATACGAAGCCCGGACACGTTCACCGTGCACTCGAGCGTATTTTTCATTCGCGTTTCCTGTTAAATGGGCCTGTTTATCTTCTATATGGTTTCCAGATACCAGCGAAAAGCGTGAATTATTGCACGGCCATTATCCAAGTGTACAGAAACCGGACTCGTTGAAATTTCATTATTAATAGTTCTCGATTAATGATTAATCAGACAGTTTACAGAAAACGTGTTCCTTTACTCTGACACCGTGTCTGAAACTTCGTTTCATTCTTAAATTTTATAAATTTCCAATTTTTTACTTCCGATATTTTATCGATAATTTTCTCTCAGGTTATAAAATGGAAGGTGAAATTGTAAAAGTTAATTGCAACGTCAAGGTGTTTAATAAAAAAGACGACTTTTCTTTTTCTTCAACTTAAGAAAGTAAGATAATTTTCAAGTTGAAGTAGAAAATATTCGCGTCAAAGGATGAAAGTAGTTAATTTTATGGTACCGATATTAAAGTTTAAAGCATCCCGGTCGAAGTATAAAATAAATACCTTGAAAATGCCGGTCAAAGGGTAAACAAGAGGCGGGGGATACAATGCTTGCCTCTTCTCTCGAAGTTGCTCGCTTTCTCCACTCAGGCTGGTCGCGAAAAGGAATAACAGAGGCAGCTTCCAATCCACTTTCATCTAAATAAACATCGTCATCTGTTATTTATTGTTTAGTTCGCGCCTTCGTTTATGCTCGATAAAAGGCAAAAAGAATTACCTTGAAAGATATTCACTGAAATTAATTAGGTTTATTTATATCCTTTTTTAATATTTTGAAAGAATGGTAATTCTACAGGGGTGTAATATTGATTTGATATGCTATCGTTTATAAAAGCTTATCTCGTTTTTCCCTTGTTTCGTTGTCAACCGGAAAAGCAGTGAAATCCTCTGGCAAATCCTCTGAACAACGTCCCGAAAAGCAGGTTGGCAAACTTTCCGAGTATATTTTACTCACCTCGTGGATGAAAGAAGGTTCTATCCTGATCTCAAAGTGAATTTTGTCCCCTTGGTAGCGGGCACAAAGGCACGCAACTAGCACGAAACTCGCCGGGACTCTGTCGACCGGTCTGAATGCCCGAAACTTCCAGTTCCTCCGCGAAATTAACGCGTCATCTGTCAACTGAGAACATAGTTACACTAGGAAGCTTCTGTGCTCGACTGTACCACGAGTTGAACGAGCTAATTTTCTACAGTGAACGATCCAACCTGCTACTCGTCAACCTGCCATAATTCTCTTCTCTCTCTTCGTCGATTCGTCGAGTTCTTCTTGTTTCGGTCATTGGTACCCGCTTCGATAATGAGAAAAGAAAACAGTTTTATCTTTCGGTGCTTCGTGACTCTGCTTCTATTTTGAAGATTCATTAGAGACATCCTCGTAATCGTTAGGTATACAGGAAGTCGTTGAGCTGATCCTTGGAACGACTAGCTTTAATCTTTCTATGTTCGTCTGATTATGTATTTGGAAAAGTGGGAAATTGGTAATTTAAAAGGTGAGAAAATTTGGAAATTGCAAACTACAAAATTGAGAAAATTTTTCAATTTCTCTTTTTTATCTTGCTTAATTCCTAAAAAAAGATCATTGACAACCCTGTCCCTAAAAGTACAGAATAAAGGGGTACGAGTCGGGCATAAATCACGCGATTACAGGACGTAGAAGGTTGACGTTTAATAAAACTTTTAGAATCACAAAAGGAGGCTAAAACACGGTGGCACATTTTTCAAAGCGTCGACTCGATACTTTCGAAGTACAAAATCTTCCCTGAGCGTAAAAATATAACAAATCGATTATTTATCACTTGTAGCAAGGGGAAAATTAAAATAAAATTCCACGTCGATGTAGGATATTTCAGAGAAAGCTCCGACAGGAAAATTTACTTAAGACTTTTCCTTATTTTTCGCCCTGGCTTCGCGAACGATCGCCTTCGATCGGTAGCTGTAATCGAAGCGACTTATGGTTGCCAGCTCGAAAACTTATCGCGAAAACAGAGTGGCCTTATCGATCAATGGAATTGCTTGCCAAACGGAACGTTATCCTCCATTTGTGCCAAGTGAATCGACCCTGTCGATCTTGATTGCCGTCTCGATCACTGTTATCACTTAACGCAATGCAGACTACTCGTTCCTTATTCCTACCGATGTTCAATTATACAATAAAACATAATACTTTTGTTAAGTGATAGTCGATGTATGAATTGTAGGAGACTTTTTCCTGAGGAATAATTCAAAGGGAAAGGGGTAGTAGGTGAACATGGGGGTTTCTAGGACAACGTGGGAGCTGCTACAGCGAAATTTACTTAGCACCTTACTTCCTTGCTGTCCTCGTCGCTGTCAAACCTCCTCCATAATAAATTCTTTTATGACCAAGCTGCTGCATCGTGCATTTCCTTAACCCTCGTGCATCAACTCCGATATGCCTGACATGGAAGTTTGATAAAACAGTCTATTACTAAATTTCATTAGAACTTCCCTAGAAATATTCTTCAACAATGTTAGAAATAATTTTTCAAGTAATTTAATAGTCTGTTACGAGGCGTTACAAAAAACGAAGTGATGAAAGTTGAGTGAACGTTTAAACGTAGCATCTCCTAAGGGAAGGCGATTTCCGTAAACGTTTCCAAAGGTGACTCGATGCAATCGGGATAGGCCAGGATGCAGTCACCGCCAGATCTTCCCAATCGCTCCGCTTCCTGATACAATTGGTCGACGCTCTGGTGAGTGGAATTAGCCGTTCGTGGCAAGTCCTCCGTCGGCCTGATCGAGAAATTCCACGTTTCCAAAATGAGCGCGCAGGGAACGTGTTAAGGTAGAAGAAATTGCGATTGCTTTCTACTGTCAACGCGTTTAACCCCAACCGGGGGCAATCGAATGGAAATGCGTTTTCTAATTTTTCTCGATCACTCTATCATTGGTATCTTTATCAAGTCTTTATTTAATACCTGTCTGCAAAGTTGTAAAGGATAGGAAAATGAAATTGACTAGAAATTTCCTAGTGACACGTGTACACAAAGAAGACGATACAAAGGGAAAAGCAAAGCGAAACACCTTTCATTAAAAGCTTAATGCAAGCGCCTAAGTTGGTCGCAATTAGAGGACCGCTACCGGATCGCCAGCAATTTCCTTCGAGTACACGGCGCCGCTTTTGGAATAGCAAATTCGTGACTAGTTTTCTAGCCACCCGATCGTTCTACGGATACTTCTAACCCTTTCTACCGATCGATCGTTAATTAAATCCCTGTTCGTTATTCTAGTCGCTGGCTATCCTCGTTCGTTGCTCCATCCCTTTTAGATTGATTACCATTATTGCACTCGCCTTTGTGCCATCTTCTCAGTACACGCGCGATCATCGATCAAAGTGAAGAAATTATAATACTGTTTCGTATTAAAGCATTAAATCTACGAAGCTTTTTGAGATTCACAAAATATCAGGTTGATTTATCGCGTTATCTTGGCGTATACGTGCCTCGTTACACCGCACTGTCGCCCTATTTTATCGCGAGCTAGCAGGACCAGCCATTAGGGACTTCCAACGGAATTCATTAACCGGAAGCTCCTCAAGAAATGAATTTCGTTTCGGGTACCGGGCGCGGCACGGCATAGTGTGTTAGATGGCTGAAAGCGCGCGATTCGTCGCAACGAACTTACGTTAAAATTAAGTGAATCACCTCCTCGAGGACGTCCCGTCGTGTCCTGCCAAATGGTGTCTCGGCGAGCTCGCAAATGGTCCTTAAAAGACACCTCCTCCCGTCCTGCCAGCCATACCTATAAACACCGAACCTTCAATTTTAATTTTCAAACCACCCTAAAGCTTATGGATCCTTCTACGTCCTCTTCGTTGCTCGCTTCTTAGCATTTCGAACGGTTCCCACGGAGGTAATTTCATCAGGAAGCAGGAGAGATCCTTGAGTCGTGCAACCGCGAGATGATATTGGTCCTCTAAACTGGTGAAAGAGAATTTTTAAACGCGTCCTCTATTCCTTCGTTCGCTTCTAGAACCGAGAAATTCATTATTCTTCGTTTCCGACGCTCTCGTTCCTCGGTTACCTTCAATGAAATTATCTACTGCTCGAGGAAACATGGAAATTAGATTGAACGCTTGCGCCCCGATATACCGGCTCGTTCGAATTAGAACAGCTTCGTATAAGGCGTCCTGGATCAAGCATTTCTAGATGAATATTTCCTTTGAGAATACCAGATTGCTTGATGCTATTTAACGTTATCGTTCCTGAATGATAATATTTTGCTAATCACCGGAATCGTATAATAATTGGATTATAATTCGATCCGCTAATTAGCGGATTGCTTTAATTCAAAAAGTTTTATTATTGATAATATAAGCGGGGAACAGGGTGGGTTTGGGTTAAAATTGAAGAATACAAAAATTATAAAATTCAAAGTTCCTAAATTCTCAAATTCCTGAAATCCTAAAGTTATAATAGCTTTATGGAACATGGAAATCCTATGACACCAATATTCTTAAATTTTTCTAAAATTAGTAACGGTATTAGGAAAAATTGACACAGCCGCGTTACCATCGTGAATTACCGGATAAATTGGTAAACATGACTAGGAGAGAACGAATAAATTCGTAATTAACTGGACACCGGAATTGGCTGTGATCGTTCCCGGGGACGTTTAATGAAATTCCATTTTCTAGTAGAGGATCATCCGCCACGTCCGTGTTTACCGCCGATAGAGCTCACAATGGGCCGCTGATTACTCGAAACAAACGGAAAACCAGGCCTCGAAACGCGTTTTATGAACCGACAGACAAACGTTTCGTCGGTTTTCAAGGCAATTTTAAGCTTTTTACGCACGACAGGGCAAAAGGTAGAACGAAAAATAAAAAAAAAGGTTTCGAGCTTTCCATCGATAACGAATGTCGATTTTGTCCACTTAGCCAGTTTACGCTTTGATTGGCACAGTAAAAACTACAGTGTGCGCTGCAGCGTGTGACAATAATTACTAAGTGCAGCATCCGTTGAATTTTTCATTATTAAATATTTGGTATAATTTGAAATCCAAACATCAAATATTCCATGTAATCCAAAATTTAAACACTTTGAATATTCAAATTATTAACATAGTTCGATCGTTCCAAATTTTACACCTGCACCCATGGATCCATTACCATAATTATTATAGTAGATATATCGAATTATTAATTTATTAATATATCATAAAATTTGTAATTCCTGTGAAACATGGAAATGAAAGCCTTCAATGAAATTTTTCCTATAAAATCTGAAACGCTATGAAGTTCAAATGATACCGTCATAATTTCCCGCTACTTATCGTCATTCCATGGCGATCTTAGTTTCCAAGACAATTGCTCTCTCGGTTAACAAAGGACATTCTTGCTGAGAGACTAAGCGAGTGTAACGGCCTCAAGATCAAAGGGCTCGGGGATGAGGTAAGGTAAAGACGGGAACCTGAACGTAAATTAATTGCGACATAAGGCAATTACTTTAGCAGCTCGAGGTACAGACCGAGAGATGGAGTAAAGCGTACGTAACAAGGGAACAAGTCCGCTTCCGAAAGGTTGCCAGGAAGTTAAGAAAGTGTCGGGGTTGATTCGTGGCTGACGTGGGGAGACACGGTGTCCCATTAAATGGATCGTTAGCTGATTCAATGGGCTGGAACCCGTGGATATTCTTCGTTCAGATTTCGGTCAACTCTGGTCCAATTGGGAACAATTGCTAGTGTAATTTCCAAATTTTATATTTTCCATTACTGATTTCTTCAAAATTTCAGAACTTATCTTTTAAAAATATTGGAACTGTAAAATTTCCATATTTCAACATCCCATCATTTTAAATAAAAAAAAATTGAATAGCACCCCTAAGAAAAATTACGTTGCACGATTCCACTGAATAGCAATAATATATTTTTTTACAAATTGTGAGAAAAAAAGAATACTCACCGTTCGAATAAATTTTCGATGGACTCATAAGTGTCCTGTAGACTGAGATCCCTCGTCTGCCTGGCTGGCATTATCGTAGGCTCGAGCTCCGACAAGTTCGACGGAAGTTTATAATTGAATTGGAATGCGGCCGAGAAAACCACGCTGCCTCTTTTGTTCATG